GGGCGGTTGGCGTGGCACCCTGCTGTGAAGCAGCGCCCCGCAATGCAGCAGTCTGATTCTGCCAGCTCGCGCGCTTTCGCGCAGACAGTCTGGCTGCCGCAAGCACGCACTGACAGCACGCCTGGCATGCTGTGACCGTGGCATAAACATCTGCCCGTGCGAGTAAGCAGCCGATTGCCGCATCCCGCCCCCCCCAACAACCGCCCCTATGTCCCAGGCGCTGTCCACTTTCGCGTCCCATTACGCGTGGCGCGGGGCCGTGACGCCGGCCAGCTTTGAGCGCTGCCTGCCGCAGAGGCCGCCGGAGACTGAGGGACAGCTGAGGCGCGCGGAGGAGGCCTTCAGGGTTAGTTATGGCGGGGGGCGAGGGGGCAGGGGCCAGGGTGCGGCCTCGCTGCTTACTTGCGCGTTGCGGCTGGAGGACGCACACTGGGGACACCGCACAACCAGAACACAGGCACCAAGGGGTGCGGCAGGGCGCCAGGCATGCCAGGCTCCTCGGCCGCTCGCCTCTGCGCCCTCCAGGACCAAAGTGCCCCGCAACAGGGGGCCCCAGTGCTGCCAGACGCAACCCTCGGCTCATACACAGCCCCATCCCCAGCCGCGTCCCCTTGCCCACCCCACCCCGGCCCTCCCCCAACCATGTTCACGGTTCGATGCCGTGACCCTGGGTGGCTTTAGGAATGGGACAGCGCGGGGCGTTGCAACACCCTCATCCTTAATCACCCCCAACCACCCCAACCACCCCCAACCGACACCGCCAGGTGGCGGAGCTCTACTGCTGGCTGGCCGGCCGCTTCCCCGGCGCATTCCGCGGCAGGGCGCAGGCCCAGGCAGCCCGCGACGGCGTCAGCGCGCTCATAGACAACGCGCTCAAGCGGCTCAGCCTCGGAAGGGCCCCGCGCGCCGGCGCCGGCGCTGGGGCAGGGACCGCTGCTGCCGAGGGGCCGGAGGAGGGGGCGCCATGGGAAGGGGAGGGGTTTGGCTCTGGCGGCGGTGGCGGCGGCGCCTCGGGTACTGAGGATGGGGAGGGCGTCGAGGAGGGTGGGCAGGAGGAGCGGCCGGCGGCGTGGGTGCGGCGGGCGCAAGAGCTGGGCGTCAGGTGGCAGTCCGAGCGGCGGGGCGGCGCGAATGGCCGCCTCAAGGACGGCGCGGCGGCGGGGGCCGCGGCCGCGGGCTCGCGTGCGGCTGTGGTGCAGCGGGCGCGAGGTGGGCCAAGGGAAGGTGGAGAGGGGCAGCAGGAGCGGCGGCGACGGGGGCGGCAGTTGCTGTTCGAGGTGCTGGTGGCTGAGGGTTGCGGCGGCGACCCATTTGCAGTGGGCCGTGCTGGTGTGCAGCGGCCTGACTGGCGGCGCTGAACGGGGCGTCAGCGTTTATTCACCCCATGGTTGCTGCGTGTTGCCAGGCGTTGTTTTTTGGTGCTTTATGTTGTTGTTATGCCCAGGCATGTGCGGAACAGGCACACGGTTGGGACCATTACTAGGGGGGGGACAGCCTGTCGTGGTTGCTCCTGGTCACCGCTCCCGATGACTCGGGGCACCAGCAAGACCGCCCAACCAAACAGGTCGCTTTGTGCTCCGCAGCCCGCCTGCGTGTGCTGCATGGACTCTCCTTGCTCCCTGCACTAGCGCGACATGCACTTGAGGAGGGGTGTGGCCTCACTTGCGATGTCACCATCTCACGGGGTCGGATGCAATCCACCGCTGCTTCTGCTTTACATGTGAGTCGGTACAATGCCTCGTCGTCAGCAACCAACCCACACGTCGCCATGCAAGGCGCGCTGGGAAGATTGCACTAACACCTGCCAATGCGAGAGATAAAAAAGGAGGGCATGTCTACCAAACGGCCCAAGGCGACAAGTGCGTGAGTGTGAGGCAAGCTTGCAGAAGTGCGAACGCCGGCGCCAATGTTGCCCGCAGTCGCGGCAGCGGTACAGGGAAAGCAAGCCGGGTTGTGGCACCGTGGTGCGCGCGGAGCGGGTGCTGTGGTGCTCAGCGGCAAGTCAGCAGCAGACAAAGGAGCACCTGGCGTGTAGAGGGTCGAATCAAAGGCAACCCAACGGCATGCATGCAAGAGGCTGCCCAGGGCATGCAGGCGGGTGCCCCGCGGCACCAGGGGTCGGCCCCTGGCACAGGCTCTGTTGCTGCAACGGACACAGGCCGTTGGTAAAGGGGTTCGACTTGCAGCCGTGTGTACAAGCAAGATAACGCATAGCTTTCCTGTGCAAAGGTGGTGTGGATTGGGTATAAGAAGAGGGACTCGATGGGCGCTGGTGGCGCGCCCACAAGCAACACAATTGCTGCTAGTGCAGCCGCGTCCTGCCCGCGTAGGGGCCCAGGCTGCGCGGCCGATGGGTTCCGCAATGTGGGGTTGGGGTGCATAGCCGCAGACCGTTGATCGACCGACCGGAGAATCCAGTGCTACGGCAGCCCAATGCAGGGGCAACCGGCAGGGAAGGAGTGTATAACCAAGGCGGGGGCAGAGGGGCAAACCAATGTGTCGCAACCTCCGGGCGCGCTGGGCCCAGGGAGTCAGGCAGAGGCCGGCGGGACCTGCTCCAAGCGCGCAGCAGTCCCGCCACCGCGAGGGCTGCCAGACGCGGGTTGAAGACGTGGGCGCCTGGCGCTGCGGTGATGTGAGGATCCTGTGGGGCGGGCCCGGGGCCCACCGCTCGGCGTGGAATACAGACAAGCGCAGTCGAGGTCTGCAGCTGCGGCGCATGGGGGGACCAGCAGCAAGCGGGCCACGGCGCCTCCGCAGCACGCAGCCACTTGGGCCCGCGCGCGCACACAATCACAGTCCATCTTGTGAGTGCGACATGACTCAATACTACGACCCCAGTCCCCCACCATACCAGTGTCCCCCGATAACAGGCGGCGCTGGCTGTGTTCCAACCAAACCCGGCTGTTGACCACGAAGGGCGCAGACTTTGGCCAGCTGGCCTGCGCCGCCCCACATGCGTGCGCACCACCAAGCCACGCACCACTGCATAGTGTTTAGTTCCGGGCCCAATAGCAGAAGAGTGCAGGGCCTTGCGTGCGCGAACGCTCGCTCATATGCTCTCAGACGCATGTCGTGCTAATCAGCGTGCTCCCCACAAACGAACAAGCCAAATCACAAGATTGGTGTACACAAACAAATAAGGGGGCCGCGGGGTGCGGCGGCCCGCAGCTGGGGCACGCGGGGGTCGCCCTCGCTCGCGGCTCATGAGCAGCCACGGGGGCCATGTCATCGCGCGGCGAACGCGCCCCGCGGCCCCTCGATACACGCAGTGGTGGGTACACGCGGGGGTGGGTCCCGGCTCCCCTGCTAACGCGGTTGTGTTGCGGCGTCAATTGATCATCATCGGCGTTGCCAGGGTCGCGCCTCGGCGGCGCCCTGGCGCCAACGGCAGCACAGCGCGTGGCCGCGGCAGAATGTGCCGCGGCGGCCGCGCAACGCGTTGGTGGGGAGGGGTTGCCATGCGCAGGCAGTTGTGTGTGGGTTGGGTTGTAAAATGTGGAGCGCTAGCTTGTATCGGGCGGCTCAGACGGGTCGGGGTCGAAATAAAGGCAATGCAAGGCGCCTGGGGAGTCACGGCTCTTCTGGGCGCCCCAAGCTGCCGGCCAGCAGCAACGCCGGCACCGGGACAGGCCACACGGGTGCCACAGCGGGCAGGAGCCGGGGCCCGGGGCGCTGTAGTGTGTACAGGGTCAAAAGAGTCTGGCCGCATGGCCCCAATACTGGGCTGCGCCAAGCCCATCGCCACACGGAATGTGGCGGCCAGCAGCAGCGGCGCGGTGTGCAAGGCTGTCGCCGCAATGGCAACAGTGCAGACCGGACGCACGCAGACAACGGGGAGGTCCACGACGCCACTGCGCACGACGCGCAGGACGTTTGGGGGGGAGCGCAGGGACGCGAGCGCACACGGCTGCACGCGGTGCCCTCCTCCATTCCCTGCCCCTACACCTGCTGCGCTGCGGGCTGCGGGCGGCCCTGCTCTGCAAAGTAGGCGCGCACCGCCGCCAGCAACTCCAGCTGCTGGTCAAACGCCTTGCCCTGGGCCTCCGCAGCATCCAGGCGGGCGCGCGCGGCCCTGCAGGGATCCCAGGGCGCATGGTGGGAGAGGGGTGGTTAGCGGCATTAGGGACTTCTCGGCAGCCCGGGAGTCCACGGGCTCTCTGGCCTCTTGGAGGGCGCCAGCCAAAGGACAGCGGCGCCCGACCCCCTGTCCCATGACGCCCCACGTTTTCGCAGCTCGACCCCCCTGTCAGCATTCAACGAGGGCGCGCCCAAGGCGCCTGAAAGTCAAGGCCCGCATGGAGGTGAGCCCCAGGTGTCAACAGCCCGTCATCTAATCGGGGGTGGGGTCCCATGAACGGTGAGCACCGTGCCGCGACGCCAACTCGCCTTGTGTATGGGATGGGCAGGGCCCTGGCAGACTCTGATGCCTCATCTGGGTTGATAAGCGCCTCGGAGGACGACGCGTCGGACCCACTCCCTGAGAGGTCCCATTCCTTCGAGGAGGCCGCGGTCAGGCCTGACAGCTCGTGGCATGAGCTCACAAGGGCATTGGCCTTCGACTCGGAGTTCTCCATGGTGGCCAGCGACAGGGCCAGCGCGCTGGCCGCTCGTTTGGGCGGAAGCCTCTGTCGCTGCCTTCTAGGGAGCCCGGCGGAGGCAGCTGATTCAAACCCGCCTATCTGCATCCTCGCTGGGCTAGCCATGGGCGAGTTTGCGTGATCCAGCCTGATGATCGATCGCGGGCTGACACTGCAGACAGCCTTGCTGCTTGTGTGCAAGTCGACATCAAGTACTCGCAGGTCTACAAAGCAATTGTGGCAACTGCAGATTAGAGCAAGCGAAAAAGCGACGCACCAGCGCATCAGTCATGCAACGAAAGGCCATCGCGGGTCATAACAAACGTGAATTTGTTGATAGGAAAGGACAGATTATCAGTTACCACAACACCCAACCCCTCCCGGCGTCAGGACTGGCCTGCACAGCCCTGCGCAAGATGGCGGCGCTGGAGCAGGGGTGATGACGCAGCTTGCTTAGCAAGAACCCAGGGCCAGCCGCACCACGCGCACGCACAGCTGGAAAGAAGTGATGAAGCTCATCTACCTGCAGGACAAAAGGCAGGCGCCCGTACAAGGCCCCCCTTTGCAAGCAAGAGGAGTCGAACGCCCTGCACCATTCAAAGTTGTGCCTGGGCTCTGGGGAGGGGTGCCACAGGCTCAGCTGCTGCAGCAGCTGGCCAGCAGCCAAGGGTGGGGCGCTGCTCGAAGGGCAGCACTCGGCAGGCCGCTGATGTTCCACCATGCAGACACCAGCTCTTTGGGGGGTGACGGCAGCCAACCCCACGGTGAACTCTTGTGCTTGGCGGCGCCAAACGTTGTTTCATCAGCTTGTCAACCCATGTATGCCCCCGGCTGTCAAATCACACGGGCAGGGCATCGCGCAAGCGCACAGCACACACTTGTGCTTCTGGACAGGCCAGGAGGTCCTGAGCACCAGGCAGCTAAGCAGACCGCTCATTCTGCTCGCGCTTGCACTGGGCAGCGCGCGCGGACGGTTAGCACCGGCTTCTGAGGTAAAAGCAAACAAGGTGCTTGTGTGTTTCAAACAGCTGCCACGGCAAGCCATAGCAAGTCGTAGCAAGCCAGAGTAAGCCGCGGAAAGACTTTTCTTTGCGTGTTACGCCCGCCCCTATCACAGCTTTCCGCCCCTTGCAAGCGAAAGGTCGCCCTCATTCCTTCCACTAGACTCCTCGGGTCCTGCAGTCAAAAACAATCTCCTTGTACTTGTTCCTACACCAGACCCAAGTCGCTCTCTTCGCATTCCTCTCCTGTCCACTAAAAGCGATGGCAGCTACTGTAGTCAGCTGTGGCGGCCGGCAGTTTCCCCTTGACTGGGTCACGACAATTGCGCCCCGCAGGAAGGGGCCAAGCGGTGTCGGAGGGCCCCCTCCAGCAGAGCGTGAATCGATTGCGGACAAGAAGCCCTGCCTCGCGCTTTCTCTCGTCACAGATCCCCCTCCATCGTGATGGCTTGCTTGTTTCACTTGCTACTCCCTCTCTTGCGCACCGCTTGATGGCTTGAACAACCCCCTTTGCCTCGTTGCAACGCAGTAGATCAGCTCTGCCAAAACCACCGAAGCCTGAGGCCTGGCCCCGACTGGCTCGTAAGCCACACTTGAGAGGCGGGGCCGGGCGGCGTTTGATCCTGCTCAGTGAGTCAAGGAGGGCGTGTACAAGGGGCTCTGAAGCCCCTGAATCTCGCCCGCCTGAACGCACTGGTACAGGTCCGGACTGCTCAGACCATCTCCGACATAGTGCCTGCACGTCTTCTTTCTATCTGACCTCCAGGCCCATGCTTGGCATCACTGCGAGCCAGGACTGTGTGGTCCAGTGCAGTCTCTGTAAGCGGGTAAGCAGCTGACAGCATGCATTTGTGTTTGTATTTCTAGGGACCTGAAGATATGTGAAACCTTGTGGAAGGGATTGGTACAGGCAAGCATCTCAGGTTGATAACCCTGAAGTTGCCCTGCACATGAGCTCTTTTGCCCTTGCCAGGAGACCAACAGCTGCTGCACCCTGCCCCCCTCCCTTCCAAAACCCAGGAATAATGAGGCGACCTTGGCTGCCGTGGCCTCGAGGCAGGTGAGGGCAACATGCACCATTGAAAGACGTGGATGTGCGGACAGAAAGCAACTAACGAGCACACAAAAGCAGGCACTGAAACGGCATCCCAGCAAACTCTGATGCCTTTGCAGGATGCAAAATTAAGCATTGTATGCTGTGCAATGCTGCATTAAATCAGCTGTTGTTGTCACACACGCAACCAAAAACGCTCGTGCTGCAAAGCAAGAAGGGGCAGGGGCCTTGAAGCCGGCACTGTGCTCCTACGGGTGTGCCCAGCCCCAGGCAACCGCCAGTGCGCTGCTCCAGGGGCCACGAAGCCCGCTGCATCACGGGACGGCAGGGTTCCCGCCAGGCGCTGGCCCCTCCCTTTGAGAGCTGCGAGCGTCGTCAGCAGCGTGGTGTCGCGTCATTTCTCCACGGTGCAGTCGTCCTGGGAGGGGCCGGGGCCGGGGCCGGGGAGGGGGAGGGTGGTGTGAGGGGCGTGAGCAGCGAGGCCACTGGGGCTTGAAAACAGGCAGGAGGGCTGCTGACACAACCAGCGACTTAGGGGACTTGGCCTGTTGCGACAGGCGCCGTGCGGATGAAAGCAGTGCTAGTCAAGGCAGGTGCGCGCCGCGCCGCTCACCTCTATTTGGATGCGGCATACTGGAGGGGGTGGCACGTGGGATTGGGCAGGGTGGGGCGGCCGCCGTGAGGCACAAGAGTGACGAAATGAAAAGCACACAAGGGCTTGCAAAAATTCCCATGCTGCACGCCCGCAAATCATAATACTGTATGCCGCTGGCCAGCTGCGGTGGTGGCATAATGGTGGCTGGTGGTCGAATGGGTGGTGGCCTGCCTCCCCTCCAGTGTATCCCCCCCCCCACACACACACACCAAGGGAGTGTGACACGCCCGTCCGCCGCACCTGGGCACTCGCCATTGCCCTGCCGCACGTCCTTGCAGCAGTCCCCGCATAGTACCATGTGGCCGCACGGGATGAGCACCGTGTCTCGCGCCGCCTCGAAGCAGATGACACACCTGGCGCGGTCACAGATGCCATTGGGTAGGGCCCCAGACGACGAGAGCGGCGGGTGTCTACAATTGCAGCATGGCTCAGGCGCCGCAGGACTGACAGCACCAGCCATGCGATACGCTCATTCCCCCACCCCCCTCCACCGCACCAACACCCGCCAACACCCTTCTTATGACCCCCTGCTGCCCTGCTGTCCCCCCCGGGCTGCTCACAGGTGCTCCTCGTCTATGTGCTCCGCCTGCCCCCCTCCCGCCAGGTCCAGCGCCGCCGCCGCCTCCGCCAGCTGCTCGTGGACAGACTTGCGCTCCCCACCGCCCGCCGCCGCCGCCGCCGCTGCCTGATGCTGCCGCTGCTGCGCGAGCGCCGCGCTCTGCTGCTGGGCCGCCGCTGCGTGCTTCAGCCGCTGGGCGGCAGACATGCCCGCGCCCCACACGCCACGTGCGGGCGCAGGCGCGGCGGGCTCAGGTGCATGGGTGGGAACCGCGGGGGCCGCAGGGGCCGCGGGGGCTGCAGGGGCCGCAGGGGCCCGGGGACCGAATCCTGGCGGCGGCGGTCGGCTAGAGGCAGGCCGTGCTGCTGCTTCAGGCGGGAACGTGCCCCATGCCAGTGGCGCAGCCGCCGTTGCCGCGGCACTTGGCCCCGTTGTTGGTGCCGGCTGCTGCTGCTGCTGCTGCTGCTTCTGCTGTGCCGGCTGCCACGGCGCCGCCGAGGCTGCGAGCGGCCGGCTCCCAGCTGCCGGCCGCGGCGCCGCCCCCGCTGGCGGCGCCGCGGGCCCCTTCGCCGCGGGCGGGGGCGGTGGCGGCAGCTTCCCCGGCGCGCTGTGCCCCCCGCGGCCGCCCCAGTTGATCCCCCCCAGCCGAATCTCCCGCTGCACCGCCGCCATGGCCACGCGGCCGCGCTGGCTGTCGCGCGGGTCTGATGCCGGGATGACGAGGTCGTCCGCGTAGGGGTAGGACCGCCCGTGGTTGTCGTACGCCACCCACCTGCCTTCTGTCACGCGGCCCTGGCAGGGTCAAGAGGACGGGGGGGGGGGGGGTCTCGTGACAAACGGGTGCTGGGGTGGGGCCGCGGCTGCATAGTGTAGATTGCAAGGCGTGCCAGATGGCCGTGTGGACAGCTTCACCCCCGCGCCCCGCTCTGTGCGCCTGAGCAATGCGAGAGCGCCGCCGGCGCGCTGCCCATCCTTACACTCCTTCCTTTCTGCCGCTCAAAGCGCTTGCTTGCCCGGCTCCGCCCCCCCCCCCCCCC